ACTCTATTTAGCATTTGTTAAGAAAATAATATGTTTCATTTAGGCTCTGTTTGGTTTGAAGGAAGGCATAGGAAAGGAAAAGAAAGAGAAAGTAAAAAGAAAGGAAAAGAAAAAGAAAGGAAAGTGATATTCTTTTTATTGTTTGGTTAGAAAGAATATTATAAGGAAAGTTAGAAGAAAATTTATAAAAAAAGTCATTTTCTCTTGTTTGGTTACTTTTCTAAGAAAAAGATGAAGAAAATTATCACAACATAATTTTAATTCATACTTTTTGGAATTAAATTTAGATTTTAAATAATTTGTAAAAAATAATTAAATTAAATTGTGATTCTATCATACTTTCAAAAAAAATTACAATTTACCGGACATGTTTGCACAATCTTAACTCAAAAAAATTTAATCAAATTTACGATGACTTTAATTTGCGTATAATCTTACATGGTCTTGAACTTGCAAGTTATTCATAACCTCAGGTGAAGAAAGATGATTCTGAATAAGCTCTACACAATGATGCAGTTCAAGCATAATTATTCAAAATTAGAATCATCCATATCCTGTGAAGTAACATGTTAATATAAAGTAAATATCATGATATTCCTAATATAAAGTATAATCCATTTCTAGTCACAAAGTCTATTACAATCAATTTCATATAGAAAATCTTAACCAACAAAATCTATTACAATCAATTTCATATAGAAGATCTTAACCAACAAAATCTATTACAATCAATTTCATATAGAAGATCTTAACCAACAAAGTCTATTATAATCAATTTCATGTAGTCTATTATAATCAATTTCATATTGAAGATCTTAACCAACAAAGTCTATTACAATTAATTTCATATAGAGAATATTAACCAAAGAGAGAGAGAAAGATATGTCGAAGTCCTTAGTTTTTGACTTTAGTGAGCCCATCAAAACATCAATCTCGCATCCTTCATCCCCTGAAATTAATTAAAAAAAAAATCAAATAAGTAGAGCCAATATAGTTGTCTTCTACTTTTGATCCAGAGCAAAGTAACAAATTTAATATTAGAGCATCTCCAACAGCTTCTCCAAATTTTTTTTCAAAATAGGGAAGCAAAAATCATATTCTCCAACTAATTTTTACACCAACTCCAACAACTTTCCCATTTTGAAGAATTATTTTTTCCTCCAAAAATTTGGAGAATGCTGCAGATTTGGGAAAGCTTCCCCATTTTTTCTCCTTCATCCCTATTTTGGGGAATGAGATGAGGAATCTATTGAGCCAAAAACCTAACTAAATTCTCCAAAATTGAGAAATTGGGAAGCTGTTGGAGATGCTCTTACGATGCTAACTTGCAACCATTAATGGAAAAAGAGAGAGGCAATATAAGAGAAATTAGCATCCATTAATGGAAAAAGAGAGAGGCAATATAAGAGAAATCACAAGTATCCATGAGATAGGAAAGGAATTAGTTTAGATGGAAAGTCCAGAGAAGAAAAGGGAAACAATGTAACACTATCTAGCTGAAAATCTAATCCTCAAAAGAGGATAATATATGGAAGGTCCAGGGAAGGCATGTGAATAAAAGAAAAATAGAGATGAGAGTAGAAATAGTGTAACACTATCAAGCCAAAAATATAATCCTCAATAGACAACACCATATGATTTTCTATGTACAAAAGAACTGTAGTAGTGAAAGAATGTAGCTAGCCTAAATGCTTGAGCATAATGGATTAACAGAGACCCATATTTCGAGACATTTTTCCAACCAAATTAAGATCATGAAAGAGCAAAGGTAAAAGAGGAAGATGAAAGCATTACTTTCACAGGCTAAACAAGCAAGTTAAGCATCATATACCATGAAGAAAGAGATGCAACAACTTGTACCTTGAGCCATCAGCACTATATGCCATTGTGGTGCACCAGAGTCCAGCAGCATCATAATCTACCCTACATCCAGAATTATCATATAGCCATGCTTTGATCTTTCCATCAACAACAGTTGAGAATATAAACTGCATACAAGTTTAGGGTGAGATGATAAAGGCATTGCATTTAGGAGCTTTCCTTAATAACAACTCAATCCATTTCCCAGAAAAATCAAAGATAAATAAAGAACATATTCACCAGTCTTGTAATAACTAATTCTACATAGATTTTCAAAACAAAGTCATGTCATGAGTATTATAAGTATTTTCTCAGTTAGAAATAGCATTAGAACTTAAAGAGGTTCTTGTTGGACAAACCTTAATTGTCTTATCATCACCACAGACAAACATTGTAGAAGTTCAAACAAAAATTTACATGTTTTTTCAACAAAAGCATCAAGTGATTCTGAGAGGCAAATATGACATAGCTTAAGCTTACATGACTAAATAATTTAAACGCTAATTTTATATAGGACCTATTGTAAAAGTGACCAAGAGGGCACCAGTCAATGGCAAGTAAATTTTTTTAATACTCACACCCGATACACCAGTTATACCAAACACTTTTGACCTAAGCAAATTCTAGTGAATCCCACTGATACTAAGCTGTCATTCTTGCTACGTCACACTTCAATATGGCATTTTATTGATATCCATCTGATGTTATGTCTCAGAGGCATACCCAAAGAATAAATTTAACTTTTATATTGGTTATAGATTTAAATAGGGTTGTTCCTATAAATAGAGTTGTAAACTGTAAACTTTTTAGAACCTCTTTCTTTCACTTTTAATGACCAATACTTGAATATTAATGTAGCATTTGGATATATCACTCATGCCCTTTAGAATTCCTAAAGCTTTTTTCTGTGTCGGATTTTAAAACTTTTACCTATTGAAGTTAATACTTATCTACCAATAACTTTGATACGTTTTACATTCTTCACAAATAGAACAGATATACACCTTCCATGTATCTATCAATCCATTCTACATAAATAAGACATATCTGAGGTTTATAGACGGTATTCAATACTTCTATACTTTCCTTGAGGAAATCCAGGAAAAGTGGCACACGATGGACAGCGTGATTCCATTTACTATGACTTCAAATGTAATTCTATAATCCCTTATCTTCTCCTTTAAACAATTGATTCAGGAACATCAGAGTTACAGATGCATTTGCTCAGCTTTGCCTTGACTTTTGGTCATGCCAACCCGATTATCACTCGCACGGCTTCTGAATCCCTTGTGAGTTTGTTGAGGCAAACAACCATGGGCGTGTTTCATTTAGGTTTATTGTTCTTTAGTCCTTTTTCCTTTTCTATTCTTTCCTTTGTCCCGGAAAATAAAGAACATCAGAGTTATTGCTTATATCATATAGAAGCCGTGAAACTATCTGCTTCATCTGAATATGAACGTCAAATGTAATTTTCCTTGTTTTCTTTCTCTTCTTGTTTTGTTTTTTCTCATAACAAATCAGTTACTTCTACATTTCATTTCCTTTCTCCACACAGTAGAGCTGTGGGGTTCACTGTTTCTGCACTCTTTCTTCACATTATCTTGAACTTGTTGTATTTATAATTTAGTTTCATATGGCCACAACGTATCATGAGGATTTCAGAATCTAGATTATACGCCTAAGTACCAATCAAGATTTCAATGAAATACAAATCTTCGTATAACAATTTGACTGTGTGAGAGTAAACGAACCCTAACATCATCATATCAAGATTCTACCTCAAAAATTTTACAACAACTGCCATTATCAAACGTATCAAAGAAATGCCATAAGCTTACTATAACGAAATAAGTAGCGACGAGTAAGAATCCAGAACCCCCAAAAGCCCTCCACGTCAAGATCCTCAATGCCAGAGCAGCTCCGATCCCCGTCGCCGAGAGCCCCGACACGACAACCGGTTAGCAGGTTGCTCGTGATCGCCGATGTCCACGTAGACGGCGGGGTCGCGACGAGATCGAGTAAGGTGGATTGTAGCCCGGGGAGGTGCTGAAGCGAGAGGGATTTGGGAGGAGGCAGTGGCATTTTGGAAACCCTAGGCTTTGGATTGAGGAGAGCTAGGGTTTTGGGGGTCGGGTTGAAGGAGGGAGGAGAGAGGAGAGGGTTTTGGGGGTGGAGGAGAAAAAGTTGGGAGTCGACGAGGTCGGAGATGGAGTCGGGAATTTTGAAGGAGACGTCGGGTGAGATTTTCTCTCCCTCTCTCTCATTTTCGCTCCGCTTGAGTTGGGAAAGGGGAAGGGAACTGAGAATACATGGGACTTTCTACCGTGATTTTAACATTCACTTTCTTTTTTATTTTCTTTCAGACCAAACAAGGGAAAGACAGTTTCTATTATACTTTCTTTTCCTTTCCTTTGCCTTCCTTCAAACCAAACAGAGCCTTAAGGACTGATTCAGATCTAAAACCTCTCAACTAACTGAAAACTCTTGGCCCAAATCCCTCCAACGTTTTCGGATCCACCTTCTCCCCCTCCGATACCCGAAACCAACTCGGTCCCGATCTCAAATCCCACTCCCACCATTGACACCCCAGTATCTTTTTCTTTCATTGAGCACTCCCTTCATTTCGCCGGGCCCCAACCCAAAAACCCATGGATATATCGCCGGCTCCCACGTCCGGCCTCCGCTATAGACATATCCTACTCTCACAAGGTACTCCCTGGCAATCCTCTCATGCTGCCACGCGTCCACCTGCTCTCTCCCGCGAGACCTCACCCTCCTGCTATCGCTCCCTGACCCGACCGACCCTCCCTCTTATCCCGCACCCTTCCTCACCATTCTCACCTCCGACCGCCTCGACCATCTCCTTGATCAAATCAGGCCGTCCATCAAGCCCAAACCCTTCCTTCGATTAATCTCAGCCGTTGGGTCGCACTTCCAAGTCTCCCTCAAATCTCACTCTCTCCTCCTCAGCTCTCTCCTCTCCTCCAACCTCCTCGCCGCCGCCCGCCTCCACCTCATTCGCCTCATCGACGATCCCAGCCGCCCGTTTCCTGACCTCGTCCGCTCGGTCGCCGACACGTGTCCCGACCTCCTGCTGCACTTGTGCTGCACCCAGTTCAAATGCGACGGCTTAACCCGCGCTCTGATCGCTTTCAGGTCTTTCATCAGCATTGGAGTATGCCCGTCAGTGAAAACTTGTAATGTGCTGATATCTTCTCTAGCGAAACTTAGTAAGATTGATAATGCACGCCAAGTGTTTGATGATATGCGAAAATTTGTGAGCCCGGATGTATACTCGTACACGCCGATCATTGATGGGTTGTGTAAGTGTAGGAGGGTTGAGGAGGCGTTTGGGTTGTTTAAGGAGATGGAGAGGGAAGGAGTGAAGCCTGGTGTGATCACGTACAATGCAATAATGGATGGGTTTTGTAAGAAGGGGATGGTTGATAAGGCATTCGAGTTGAAGGTGAAGATGGGTAGAGATGGTTTGAAGGGTAGCATTGTTACTTACGGGATTTTGATGAACGGGTTGGTTAAATTGGATAGATTTGGGGATGTGGGTGTTGTTATGGAGGAGATGAAGGGAAAGGGGATTGTGGCGAATGAGTTTGTGTATAATAGTTTGATTGATGGGCATTGTAGAATGGGACGGTTCAAGGAGGCTTTGAAGTTGAAGGCTGAGATGGTGTCGAAAGGGTTGAGGCCAAATTCAGTTACGTGTAATGTTATTGCTAGAGGCTATTGCAAAGCTGGCGAGATGAGCCAGGTAGAGATTTTGTTGCAAGAGATGTTGATAGAGAGGATTGAGGTGAATGCAGGTTTGTTTAGTTCGGTTATTGTTTGGCTTGTGAAGGAGGAGAAGAGGTTAGATTCGGCCGTGAGGCTTTTTAAGGAGATGTTTGGAGGAGATGAAGGGAAAGGGGATTGTGGCGAATGAGTTTGTGTATAATAGTTTGATTGATGGGCATTGTAGAATGGGACGGTTCAAGGAGGCTTTGAAGTTGAAGGCTGAGATGGTGTCGAAAGGGTTGAGGCCAAATTCAGTTACGTGTAATGTTATTGCTAGAGGCTATTGCAAAGCTGGCGAGATGAGCCAGGTAGAGATTTTGTTGCAAGAGATGTTGATAGAGAGGATTGAGGTGAATGCAGGTTTGTTTAGTTCGGTTATTGTTTGGCTTGTGAAGGAGGAGAAGAGGTTAGATTCGGCCGTGAGGCTTTTTAAGGAGATGTTGTTTAGAAATTCACGACCGGAAGGTTCCATGCTGACAATGATGGTTGAAGAATTGTGCAAGAATGGTAAGCATCAGGACGCGGTTGATGTTTGGGATAGAATGTTGGAGAAAGGCTTTGGTGTGAGCACAATCACTTCGAACGCGCTGATTCATGGTCTTTGTGAGTCTGGAAACATGAAAAAGGCTGTTGGTATTCTCAAAACGATGCTTGAGAAGGGAGTGACTCTGGACAAGATAACGTATAATACTTTGATATTGGGATCATGCAAAGAAAAGCAAATTGAAAGAGGACTTTTGCTTCGGGAGGAGATGGTTAAAAAAGGTATAAAGCCTGATATATGCACATATAATACCCTGATGCGGGGCTTATGCGATTTGGGCAGAATGGAAGAGGCTGCAGCACTTTGGAATGACTTGAAGAAAGAGGATTTGAAACCAGACCTTTACACTTTTAGTACGATAATAGATGGTTATTGCAAGGCTAAAGAAGTTGGTAAGGCAAAAATCTATTTTGATGAGGTAGGGAACTCTGGTTTAGAGCCCAATGTTGTTATCTATAATTCACTTCTCCAAGGGCATTGCAGAGGTTGTAATACCATAGAGGCTTTTAACATAGTTGCTGAAATGAAAACCAGAGGCGTTTCTCCAACAGCAGTAACCTATTCTACCCTTATGCATGGGCTATGCAGTGTTGGTCAAGTAGAAGAAGCTAAAATTGTCCTTAATGAAATGAGAGAAAGTCGTTTGCAAATGAATGTAATATGCTATACCATCCTGATTGATGGCTATTGTAAGATAGGCAAGATGAATGAAGCACGTAATATCTTTGAGGAAATGCGTGCAGGTGGTTTAAGACCAAATAAGATTACTTATACTGCCTTGATGCAAGGTTACTGTAAAATCGGGAATCAGAGTGAAGCAACTAAGCTTTTAGATGAGATGGTGGCTAATGGTGTTCATCCTGACCAGATCACTTACAACACATTGATGTCTGGATTTTCCAATGAAGGTAGGATGGATGAGGCCTTTAAGGTATCTGATGGCGGCTAAAGGTATTTAAATTTATCTCATTAAATACATCTACTTCATTGTTTCAATGTATTTCACTTACATAGTTATATTTGGGAAATCTCTACGTCCTTTAGTACAAAAGTTTGCCTCGTAATCCGTTTTCCAGATTATTTTGTTTTTTTGGTATTATCCTTCCTAATTATGTTCTCGTTACAGGGCAGGTAATGGCGGAGACAGACTAACCGTCCCTGACATTCATAATTCGAGTCCACTTACCGATTTCTCGATCCTCGATCTGATCCTCGCTGCCTCGATCTCCGTGGAAAAAGTTTGCTTTGATCCTCGTCTCGTCGACGGTGAGCTACCATCTTTTGCCCTAATTCGAGCTTAATTCGAACTGAAACTGTGTCCTTTCACTTGAATTGGTTCGAATTTGAAGGATTTTGATCATTGTTAGGTGCTGCTGTTTCCTGTTGTTTTTACAGATTCAATGGTGTCGGTTTTGAGCTGCTGCAGCTTCTCACATTTCTCGTATACAGAACAGAGAGCTCGAGGTTTTTGAAGGAATAATGGCGGCAACTAGAAAATTTGACTTGTCTTCGAGCAGCTCCGATGGGCCGTAACCTCACCCGAGCTCGCAGCGAATGGCCGCAACCCTTGAGAGGCCTGGAAGCTTCCGCGAGTCTTCGGAGAACCGAATTGCGTCTTTGATCCCCAGCAGCAGCTCTTTGAGGCCTGGTTCCGTGTCAGCTCAAGGGGATGCAGTAAGCTTGTTGCAGAGTGTTGTTTCTGATATGAGATCAGTGGTTGGTTTTGATCCGAAGTCTCCTCAGCCTGGTGAAGTGAGAAGATCGATAAGCTCAATCCTTGGCATTTCGCAAGATGATTCTTCCTTGCCTGCTACATTTAGTGCGAGGCCTCTGACTTCTTCCTCTGTGGAGGAGATTAGACGCTTGAGGTATAATATCCAAGAGGGTTTCGTCAAGGCCAGGTACATTTTAAGTAAAATTCTTCTTTCATTATTCAAATGCATTGTTTATCATTCCATTGTTGGGTAAATTTTATCGAAACTGTATGGGTTTATTATTAAAGCCAGTTTAAGATACATGAGCACTTAAACTTTCCTAAACGCTTGATTATATAGTGATCGAGCAAGAGCATTTGGTGAGGCTGCGTTGAAAATGGATAAATGCGACAACAATCTGTCTAGAAAGCGTCCTCGAACTGATATTTCATCTAGTGGGCGGTCTAATGCTGCAGTGCATGGAGGCAGTACCCTGAAGATGGGACCTCAAAGCCATTTCGCTGCAAGCAGTCTTGATACTGGGACTCAGAAAGTGGAAGAGAGGGTGAAAACTGGCGCCCCAAACAGAAAAATTCGAACTTCTTTGTTGGATGTACGGGTTCGTATTCTGAAAGCTTCATTTATCTTCTTGTTATATTTTGGAGGGTCTCGTGACAACCCACATAAAATATATGATCTTATATCACTAGTTCCATATATATCAAATGCTTCTGTTGCCAATCACGAGTTCTCTCACATATTCATTTGATTTTTTATTTTATTATTATCATGTATTAGCGAGTTGGGTATAATCATTGTTTTTGAGGAAAAGTATGGGGCTTCAACTCAAGGCCTCAGTCATATTACCATACCAATAAAGGTTGTGTATAGAATTCAACTACACCCCAACTCCAATGGTGCAGCTAGGTTGTAATCATAAGCTTAAGTACATGCTGGCTTTGCTGAGTTTTCTTTATATTTCCAAGCTTGGCACTCTAGAGGTCTCTCATTCGGCTTATAGCCATGCACCATTTGTTGTATTAAATCATTGAGGTTTGTTATATATTGCTACTGTTTGAAGAGTCTATGATTTTTTTTGTCATGTAACTAACTAACTATATTGTTATATTTAATGCAGATTGAGTTGCATGATAGTTGCCCTTTTCCTGTTGCTTCTTTATAACTCGTGAAAAGTCTGTTTATATACTTTTGACGTCTAGGATGATTGTGCTGCATGTTGTTGGCAGTTGGTTCTTTATTATTCTCTAGTGTTTATAATATGTATTTAATGAAATAGATGGATGCACGCCCTAATAGCACTGCTAGGCCATCATCTAGTGTTTATAATATGTATTTAATGAAATAGATGGATGCACGCCCTAATAGCACTGCTAGGCCATCATGGTCTATGGATAGGGATAGAGATGTATTCAAACTTGGCAATGGTGGTGCAACACCGCCAGAAGAAAAGGGCAGATCATTGGCAGCTGCAGTAGATCCATGGGACAAAACAAAGATGAAGAAGAAACGGTCTGTCTTAAAATCAGATGCCTCTGGAAATACAGTATTGCCAAGGCCACATGATGGTGATCGAGAGTTGAAACGAGGAATGCAGCAAAAGCTTATTACTGAGGCTAGACCAAGATTGAATAATGCCCATGGCTTCAGGTGGGATAATTATCATGCTTTATATTTACTTTATTCTGATAGTTTTTTGACTTCTCCTACCCCGGATCCATTCCAGGTGATTATTGTTGTTGTTTTTACTAGTTGTTCATCTTCGGAAGTATAATCAATAGTTTGTTATGCACTCTTTGAGTGGCTGCAGCTTTTGCCTTGTTTCATGAGATATGTTGTTATCCTTACGGACGAAAACTATCACTGTACATACTAAATAGGTTCCTCATGCATTAGTTGCCAACTTGCCATGAGACAAATAGCATGGTTTAGTAATAATTATGTTAAACCAGTTATAGTAAAGGCCAAAGGTTCACTAGTTTTTATCTGGTAGAAGCCTATCAATTATAGCTGGTGTTTCTCTATGGATGTAGTATTACGCGTCTAGTAATGTTCATTGTAGAGAAGATCTGATCAATCTATCGTAAGCTTCTTTTTGTAGATTGTTTTGAAGCATAGTTCTTCAACATCTTATGCAAGGGTTAGAGATGAATATACTGTTTTCACTTCTTTTGCCAATTACATTTCAAAATCCATCTCACCATCGTCAGTCACAATTCTATATTTGGTTTAGATCGGCAAAAATATCCTGTAGAGCTGGACTAACTGTTTGTTTTATACAGTGATATCTCCAGTGTTGTAGAAAGAAGCTGCCATTATTCATTAACTACACATAATCGAGTCATTATTTAGAGATCCTGCTATAGAATTACTTGTTTCTTGTAGGCTTGTAGATGCTTATTGCTATCATCTTTTGCCATCTTGTATGTCTATAGAATTACTTGTTTCTTGTAGGCTTGTAGATGCTTATTGCTATCATCTTTTGCCATCTTGTATGTCTAGCTAATACTTCTTTCATGAGACTTCAGGCCTAATGGTCGGGAAGAAAATTATGCTGCTAGTCCTACTTCAACAGTGAAGACAAATGCATCTGTTCGGGGACCACTATCGAGTTTAGGAACTCTCACAAAGACGGCATCTCCTAATGCGAATCGTGTACTGGCAAATTCTGATGACTGAGAGCATCAGAACTCTATGAACAAGCTCAGTGGTGGTGTTGGGGCTGTTAATCGCAAACGCTCAGCATCTGCACGCTCAGCATCACCTCCTGTTGCAAACTGGGGTGATCAGAGGCTTCAAAAGATGACACGTGTTGCAAGAAGATCAAATTTACCTCCTGTAGGTTCAAGCCGTGATGATTTTCCAGCATCGGATATCCCAGAAACAATGGCAGTCTATGATGAAGGGTTAGGATTCACAAGGCGTCCATCTGCTAATGCTTCTCAGTCCAAATCAAGAGGCGATCATGCACTTTCCGGTTTATCAGAAAGTGAGGACTCTGGAATTTCAATGGACAAGTGCAAGAAATTCAGGGAGGTGGAGGAAAAGACTGGTGCATCCAGTCAGAAGGTTGCAACTCTGTTACCACCTTCAAGAAAGAGCAAAGTGCTTGCTGAGGAAGATCAGGAAGATGGTGGTCGGAAGCATGGGAAGATCAGTCGAGGTACAACGCCTGCAAGGCCTGGCACTCCTATGTCGAATGAGAAGTGGACGGTGTTGCCACTGCGAAACAAATGAGAAGTGCAAGGATTAATTCTGAGAAGAATGAAAGGGTTATTTTTCTGGCTTCGAAAATATCTACTTGCTCTAAGATTCCATCAAAATTAATATCATGAAAACTGTGTGCTAGATTGTGACCTTATGGATATTTACATTATCTTTTCCTGTCTCTCAGTAGACCAGGTCGCCCACTAACAAAGAAGGCATCTGAGCGCAAGGGGCATACTCGTCTAAGGCATTCAATAACCAATTCACCATCAGAATTTGCTGGTAATTTCTGCATTATGGATCAAGGTTTTAAATATTGGTTATCGGAGATTTATCGGACGGTCAAAATCCTTATCGGATAGCGGAAATCGGGGATATATCGGGGATAAGTAGTAGTTATCGGAGTGATATACTGGATGATGTGTATATATAATATAACAATTAAAAAATATAATCTAATCATGCTTAATGAAATATAAACATACCAAAATGTAAATCATCATGTTTAGAATCACTAACAAATTGTAGAAAGTGAAACTTGCATCATAGCCTTGAAAAAAATATAATGTTAGTCAAAATGGGCCGATAATCCCAATAGAAAGTCTTACTTATCGGCCGATAAGTGCCGATAAATCGCTGATAAACCTACAAAAACGATAACCGATTAAAAATCCAATTTATCATAGCGGAGAGCTCCCAAATCCGATAACTCGGCCGATAATATCGATTATCGGCCGATATTTAAAACAGTGTTATGGTAGTGCCACACACATGCACACATACCTCGAGAGAGATACAGGATGGTGAGAACTCACCCATACAATGGGACTTATCCCTTGTTTGGTACACGAGGATGGGCGAGAATGGACTGCCAGTTCTCACTTATCATATCTTCGTACCAAACATGATGTGTTTTTGGAAGCTAGAAATATCCCATTTCTCATCAATTCCCACTTTATGTGGGAATGGCCAATCCCAAGGATATGTTATACCTTGTTTTGTACGCGGGGAGTGGGTGGCAATGGAATGCCCATTCCCACTTTTTATTCATGTGTGCAAAACACACCATATTTTTTGAAGCTAAAAAGCTCAATTCTCACTTCTTAATCATTCCCACATTTATGGGAATGAGCATTCCCAATGAGATATTAGGGAATGGGGAGTGAGAACCAAAAAATTAAAATAAATTCCAAATAGACCCTGATTGCTTATTAATTGCCCAATACTAAAACAAAAGATTATCATTCCCTTTTCATTCTTGATCACACCCACATGTGAGTATGGAGATTAGCTTTCTGTTCCAACATAATTTATTCCATTCCTTCATTCCATTCTCACTTGGTCTGATTCTGGCATAGCAAACAAGACATTAGTTAATGGCCTTCCCACTTAAGTGGGAATTAAAAAAAAAGAACCATAACTTTGAAATATGCTCATTCCCACTTCATTCTCTAATTGTACCCAATTGTGAGAATGGAGATGAGCATATCGCTTCCATGTTAATTCCATTCCATTCCTTGTTTCGTTCCTTCAGTTGAGTCCCTTGTACCAAACAAGGCGT